GATTTATATGCCAATCAAATATATTTTTTCTTATCGCATGATTTTCACCATTTTTCAAATGAATTCTATCGTTTGACCTCTATAGTTTATTAAATACGCCCTCTGTACACATACATATAATAATCACAAAAAAAACTTATTTTATTTTTTATTTTAAAAAAGATGATTTTAAACAAGTGGATAGCTAGCTGAAGTGGCAATTCCACATTGATTTTGTTTATTACGACTCATCCAAATATAACCTTGTTTACCCCAATTTGTTCCCCAAGAATTTTTAACAATATAATAATCTTGATTATTGAAAGTATCATATCCAACAGCTAAAACACCATGATCAAGTAAATATGGTAAACAATGAGGTTCATCATATACTCCAGTTGAATAAAACTGAAATGAACTTCTTGATGCATCAATAGCAACAGATATTGGACCTATAGTTGCAATAGCAGCTTGAAGATCTGTTTCATTACCCATTTTAATTTGAACAAAACCCTAAAATAGAATATTTTATTTTTTATATTTTTGTTATTAAAAACAAAAATATTTACAGTATCGGTAGCACCAACATTTTTTGGATCAAAATTACATTTATGACGTTTAGCTTCATAAGGATACGTCGATTCTGTATCAACTCCACCATTAGATTTAATATATAAATAAGCAATTTCCATAATTCCTCCATGACATCCTAAATTAACTGAACAATCAACTAAATTTTGTTCAGATAGTGAAACAAGTTCTGATGTTTTAGCAAAATGTTGTCCTTCAAGTGTGCCAGTTGTTGAAAAAGCCCAACATGAACCACATTGACCTTGATCCTTAACTGGTGTCACATAACCTTTCGTTCGCCAATCTATTGAATAGTATATATTAAATATAATATACGTATATATATTTGAATAATCTTACCAACAGAACTTGGTAAAACAATATTTGATGGAGCTAAAAATGTATGACGATCCATTTGTTCTGTTTCACTTTTTAAATTCATTTTAAAACCATTCATTTGTTTTCGAAATTCTTCATTTGTCTTAAAATATTTAAAAAAAAAAGAAAAATTCTAGAAAACATTATTTTTATTTTTTTAATATTTACCATATCACCAAATTGATTCATTTCAAGTGTATATTTATGCATACCAATATCAGATTCAAGATTATGTTTTTGAATCATTGCAAGATTTTCTTCCCAAATATGACGACTAATTTTGTATAAATAAATTTATTTTTTCAAAAAAAATATTTTTAAACAAACCGATTTATTTCTTCTTCATTTGATGAATATTCTTTTTCAAAGACACGTTTAAATAAAGACCATGAATCATCTAATTGATTATTAAATGTTGGAAAACAATGTCCATTAAGAAAAAGTACACATAATATAAAAAATGATTTCATTCTTGACTTGAAGATATGTAACTTGCTACTTATTAAAACAAAAATAATCGCTATCTTTATATACAGACAAGATTTTTTCTTCTGTTTAAATCACAATGCTCGTTGAGATAACAAAATGATATCACATAATCTAACATTGATAACTGTTTATTTTTGTATTTTATGTTCGATGAAGAAACATTTGAAGTCATAATTAAGTTATATAGATCAATTTGAAAATCTCGCATATTTTCTTGTATTATTAAAATATAAACAGTATAATATAAATTTCGATTTCATCTGTATTTTGTCTATAGCTCTTTTTTCTTGCTATCGCTTACATATCATGTTTTATCTCAAAGATGTACCACGCAATTCTCGATAAAATGAAAACATGTTATACTCTTTATAGACGTAATACAATTAAAAAATTGAATACTTCAGTATCATCATATAAAAAAAGGAGATCTCCGCGCAAAATTAAATAAGTTTTATTTTTTTTCTGACTACTGTTTTTCATGCTTTGTACGAGGATGCAGTTTTTTCTATTCATTATGATATTAACAGTAAATTGAAATTTTTTAATCGATTAACAAAAAGACTAAGATTTATCAATGAATCCAATACATAATCTGTTTCGAAGAGCATCATCTAAGGTAGATATATTGCATATCACAAATAGTAATTCCAGTTATTATAGATGATTTCATTAGGTCAACGTAAAGAAGACTATATCGCAAGTTCGTACAGTACTTAATGGACGGACAGAAGATGAACAAGTTAAACATATTTTGCGGACATTGAATAATACAATACATAAAGCGGCACCAATCATTGAATATGTGATTGATGATGTTTCATCGAGATTCTCAAAAGTAAATATATTTAGTTTAACTTTCAGAATACTATCGTAGATTTCATTTAGACAAAAGAATCTACAATAAATCCTTCATTACGTAAGTTTTTCTTATAGAAAAAAAAATGTCAAGATTATACATTTCATAAAAACTAAGTTTTCCAAACAACATCTTTCATGTACAAATCATTTGAAAAATCTTCAAGCCAAACTATGAATCATTTTTCCAACTTTAATAAATCTTTCAATAAAAAATCAAATTTTTATGAAGATATATTTGCTAAGAAAAATTGGTCATGGGAGACAATTGTACTTATTATTATTGTTTTTGTTCTCATACTTATTTTGATAACACTACTGATGACTGAAGTCATCATGAAAAACAATAAACAAACAGAAGAAACGAATTCATTGAGAAGATCAATGGACTCAGTATCTTCAATTAATCTACATTGATGACGAATTCTTATCGAAACTACATTCAAATATAAAAATGTTTCTATTGTCATTTAAAAAAATTGATAAAGAATATAATCATACATCATTATGCATTCTATAAAATACTTGTCTTTTATTGCTTATGACATGTTCTTCAGTTATGGCAATTATATTTTCATATGTAAACGACGATCATAATCATCCTTCGAATCTAATACAAGCTAGAACTTCCTTTTATATTACGACAGAAAATATCGAATACAACCAGATTTAAACTTAATTATTACTATAGTATTATTTTATATAATATTCAATACAAATAGGCTATAGAACCTGTGATTTTTATACATGATAATCTGTCAACGGTTCGTGAGAAACATAATAATGAACGATTTTACCATGTCACATAGTATACTACAATACAACAAACATAAAATTCTTCTGTTCTTGTACACATTAGAATAACAGCAAAGTTAAAGTTGGAAAAACTAAACATATCAGTTCTGAGTAATTCGTGATCTTTGTTTGCTTTAAATAGATGGCATAATACAACCGGACGCAGTAAAATTTTGAATTCGATTTTCCGCAGAACATATAATGTTATCTGTACTGTTGTATGTAGGATATATGAAGTTAGGCTAGTCTATGGCGCCTTTGAGAAATTTTTGCCGGATTTAAATCGAATAATTTTTAATGACTGACGATGCTAGTGCTACATCAAACTATTGATAAATTCGACAGATAATTTGTAGAACCATTACGCTGTAAATAACTGAAGTGTCGGTAAAGTATTCTTGAAATCATTTCAAAACAAAAGTTATCCAAAAATAACATTACATATAAATCATCAAGGTTTATCTTCTATTATGAATTAAATGTAGTAAATTTTTCTTTCATTGAAGATTAGGTTCGGATTGCTTGTTCACAATCTATGAATGTTATTAATATAATTAAAAATTTATTAACAGTTGGTGTTGTATTATTAATTTTTTACACTAAAACTAAGTATACGTATAATATAAGGTGAACTTTTATTTTAATTTCAGGCAATCGTAATAGTATTCTATGATGGTATAGACTATTTTGTCCGTCAGAATGTATTACAGTGTAATATGTCATTTAATTTGTGTTCTTAATGAGTAATGCACTATAATATAAGTAATTGTTGGGAACTTTAACAGAAAAGAATGATTTTTTTGAAAGCAAGTATATTTCTCTTCCACCGAATTGATTAAACTGTATCACACGAGCCTTTGCATTTACAAATAATGTGTATAGGATTTTTTTCAAAAAATAAGATATTGAAGTTTGAATGTACAATTATTATGTTCTTTTATTTTGATGAATAATATATACTATAAAATGAAGATTTTATTTATAACTTATCGATTTATCAAGAATCTCAAAGATCTGAATGTGTTCTTCTGATGATTATACAATAAACGATTAGAATTTGTCATGCTATTATAGCGTGTATATAAATACCCAACTATAAGTAATGCATAGAAACAAATTGAATATTGTCATGTCGAAAACAAACTAATAGTATTAATGTAACAGAGATGGAAGATATAACCAAAGGAGAAAAGGAAAAAGTCAGTCAGAAATATTTGACTAACACTCGTCAACTAGTGAGTAGCACGTGGTTAGTAATGCATACGTATATGTACGAAGATGTCGAGAATAGCGATTCTCACCCGTGAATGGATGCACTAATAATCTTATCATAAATAAAAAAAAGATTTTATTTTTTAATCCGTTCTATAGTAATGTAACATTCGGTATGTGACTTTATATGCATTTAAAACAAAACTTAATTAATTTGTTTGTCTATATATCTATCGATGAAGACTATTTTATTTGATATTATTGATCATTTTTCTAGCGGCGTAGTTAATGCGAGCTAATTTGTATAGAATTTTCTTTTTGAGTCATTAATATATATATGTCTTTTCTGATTCATGTATCTATATGATTTATTAAAAAAGTTGAATCACCTTTATATGAAAATATTTTAGCAAAATAAATATTAATCCAGTACATAGCTTGATTAGAAATATACTCTTTTATATAAAACTAGGCGTGTACTCTTTTTTATATCTTATTATTTTATATTTTTTCATGGACGAATGAGTGAATACAACTGTGAAAAAAAAATGATTAATGACGTCATGTATAAAATATACCTATATGTTATGTAAAAAGAAACATGTGATCACTGACGCATGGCTAAAGTAAACGATAATATATTATGAGATAAAAAAAATGGTTAAAGTCAAATATATAAAAAACAATACAAATTATATGTATATACGTAATCCGAATATAACATGACTTCAGAAGGCAAAAATTCAGTAGATTCGAACGAAGGTTTAGTAGTTCCTGGACATACAGTACGTTTTAGTGAGGCTGTTTATACAGATGATGATTCTTCACCACCACCAGCACGTCTCGATGGCGATGGTGATATTACTTCATCCGTCAAAAATCAATCAAATCAACGGATGAGGACTCGTCGTCAATCTGGTATACTCAAACGTCGAGTAAATACAATAACGACTGCTGATGCGCCACCTATAATCTTATCAGATGAAGGACTCAAAGCTGGTCGAGTATCACCTTTTCTCAATTTTCCATTATTTCTCACGATGACTATTCGTTCTATTGGAATCGTCTTTGGAGATATGTAAGTGACAGATATAAAAAATAAAGTAATCTTATTCTATTTTATTAGTGGTACATCTCC